ACCAAGAGTCAGATGCCCAACCGACTGAGCCCACTAGGGCCCCCATTCTTGCCCTTCTGAAGTCTTTATTATTATTACCAAAGGGCCAGCTCCTACTGGGCATTTGCCTGGTCGTGGTGCTGAGGAGCACGCCAAGGCTCGCTGCTGCTCCTGTGCTATCTCAGCAGTCTGGTTCCCTGCAGGGAGCATCTGTGGGTCAAAGGGTTTTCTAAAGCCCTGGGCCTCTTCTTCTTTGGAGCTTGTGCTGTGACTCTGCTGAGTATCGGATGTCAGAATAGTCTTGACAACAAATCCCCATTCCAAATGGTGTGAATCAGGTACCCCTCTCCTTTTAACTTTTTCTGGCAATGGGCCAGGTTAGGGTTAGGGTTTCAGATTGATAGGGGGGGGGGAGAGAGAGAGAGGCCGAAGGAGAGGGAGAGAGAGAGAGAACCCCAAGCAGGCTCCACACCCAGCGTGAAACCCGACATGGGGCTCCATCCCATGACCCCGAGATCCTGACCTGAACTGGAATCAAGAGTTGGACACTTCACCAACTGTGCCACTCTGGTGCCCCTTGACAGAGATTTTAAAAGGACAACATATATTCCTGCTATAGGTAAGAAGACAAGATTTGGAGTGTAATTAATTGGATTTCAGGGCTGTCTTCAAAGAGTACATTGATATTTAGCTAATTCACGGTCAAAAGTCACAAGTTAGATGTTATGTTAAAAAACAGTAATTTTGAGCAAATATTCTTCATAGTAAGCAATCAAGATATTACACAAATCTATTCAATGGGTGAATCTTTTAGACATTTAGGGTGATATTTTATGATTACTCAAATTGACAGATGATTGATATTAATAATGATTAGTATTGCATCAATATTAATCAAATAGCATTCCATCAAAACTTTATTTTTTTAAGGTTATATTTTAATTCCACTTCGTTAATATACAGTTTAACATTAGTTTCCATACAACACAGGGTGCTGATCAGGCCAGGTGCACCCCTTCATCCCTGTCACCTGTTTCTCCCACCCCCATCCACCTCCCCTCAGGTTCCCACCAGTGTGTTCTCTGTAGTTAAGAGTCTGTTTCTTGGTTTCTCTCTCTTTTTTTCCCCTTTTTTTTATTTGTGTTGTCTTATATTCTACATATGAGTGAAATCATATGATATTTATGCTTCTTTGATTGACTTATTTTGCTAAGCACAATACACTCTAGTTCCATCCATATTGCAAATGGCAAGATTTCCTTATTTTTATGGATGAGTAATATTCCATTACATATGTACACCACATCTTCTTTACCTATGCATCTATCAACAGACACTTGGGCTGTTTCCATATCTTGCCTATGGTAAATAATGCTGCCTTAAACATCGGGGTGCAAGCCAATCTGTGGAAGGGGCCTCGGTGCCCATCGAAAGATGAATGGATAAAGAAGACGTGGTCTATGCATACAATGGAATATTCCTCAGCCATTAGAAACGACAAATACCCACCATTTGCTTCAACGTGGATGGAATTGGAGGGTATTATGCTGAGTGAAGTAAGTCAGTCAGAGAAGGACAAACAGTGTATGTTCTCATTCATTTGGGGAATATGAATAATAGTGAAAGGGAATATAAGGGAAGGGAGAAGAAATGTGTGGGAAATATCAGAAAGGGAGACAGAACATAAAGACTCCTAACTCTGGGAAACGAACTAGGGGTGGTGGAAGGGGAGGAGGGCGGGGGGTGGGGGTGAATGGGTGATGGGCACTGAGGGGGGCACTTGACGGGATGAGCACTGGGTGTTATTCTGTATGTTGGTAAATTGAACACCAATAAAAAATAAATTATAAAAAAATCGGGGTGCATATATCCCTTTGATAATTTTGTACACTTTGGGTAAATATCCAGTAGTGTGATTGCCCGGATCCCAGGGTAGTTCTTGTTTTAACTTCTTGAGGATGCTCTGTCCTGTTTTCCAGAGTGGCTGCACCAGCATGCATTCCCAGGAGCCATGTTCGAGGGCTCCCCTTTCTCTGCGTCCCTGCTACACCTGTTGTTTCTTGTGTTGTTGAATTTACCATATACACTTTATCAAAGACTTTATTAGTAAGGATAGGAGAGGCTTGGGTTATGCTGATTCCTCAATGCTATTGGCTTTACCCAGGAAGAAGTGAGAAGCTCATTTCTCATTTTTGTGGCTGCAGATCCTAGCAGCCCTCCAGGAGTTACTCAGGGATCTGGGCTTCTTCTATCTCATCTCCAAGTTTCAAAGTGGGTCCTCTTCAATTGCCACTGCAGGAGAGACTGGAAAACATCCCAGTGGCTTTTCTCAGCTTCCAGCCAGATGTGATGTCCCTTCCTTCCCATTTCTGGGCACATGGTTCCTCACTGAGCTGTGATGAGGGCAGGTGGTGTGGCCTCCATGCCCCGCAGAAGAGCTATTGGTACACACCTGTGAGGCTCACGGATGCCTCCTCGGAGTGGGCTCTGGGCCTACTTTCTACCAGCTGCATGACGTCTGGGCTTCAAGCATCCAGAAGGAACCTTAGCGTAGATGTGTTCACTGTTCGGCTTCTGTCTCCAAACACCTAATATTTGAGAAATATTACCCAAAGGTGTGCTATGACTCATTTCTCTAGATTCTCTAAATGCTTTCTCTCACAGACACTCAGGCCTTTGGAGAGCTACCCTCCTTGACTCCTGAGAGCCTGAGTAAATCTTATCAGAGAATTATGAACTAACATCATGTCCCTAAGTTAGCCATGAGACAATGGGAGAAACCAGTATATTCATTCAACAAATTTTAATGGAGCTCCCTCTGTGCCAGATGCTGGAACAAGCATATCCTTGAAGGTTAGTCATTTGAGATTAAAAACATCCTTCCTGAATGTGCTGAATATCCCTACAAAAAAAATTCCATATTGCTTAGTTGGCCAAAAGAGTATTTTCTGAAAAACTAACATACTTCAGTTTATTAAATAATTTGTCTAAAATACTATATTTCTGTATTTCCTTTTCACCTTGATGACCAGGGAACTCAGAGCTGGGCTTTACAAACATTGCTGTAGCTCTATTTACTGTAGATATTTGACACAATAGCTTCTTCCTTCAACACTTTTTTTGGTAACCTTTAAAAATCATTCAGTTATATACTGGTCATTTATTTTATGCCATTTTAAATCCTTTGAAAGTATATTGATCAAATAGGAATAATAAATGATCTAATCATGCTGTCTGAGCAATGCATAAATACCAACTTGTTTATAGATTGATACTTTTCAGGAAATATTTTTTGGGGGTGTACAGAAGAGGATTCTATCAAAGGGAGAGAAATGCAAATGTTAGTCATAAAAAAAAAAAGGATTATACTTTCAGCAAAGCCCTCATGTTTCCCTTAAACCCCAATATTTTCCTGTTTCTTTTTAAGTAGGCTCCATGCCCAATGTGGGGCCTAAACAGTCAAACTCTTCAGCCTTTCTGATACCCATCTTTTCCTCTGGTTGTATGAATGGAGCAATACTCTTGCTAGCAGGCTGACTGCCCTGCTCCTGATACCACGTTTGGCTGACCATCTGTGTTACTCCTTGCAGTTCAGAGTACCCGGGCTGCCACTCCTGCCTCGTTGCTCAATGTAATAATAGCACCTGGCTTGCTTCCGATGGTTAAACGTCACCACTAGGTTTCTATATGTCACTATCTGGTCATCGTCACTGCTATCAGGGAGCTCGGTGTTCTCTCTGTAATGGCCCAGTCATAGAATGGCCAGCTACCGCTGAGACCCTCATCTGTACATTCCTCATCACTTTTGTAACTGAAGTGTCCTCTGGGTTTTCCAGGAAACCTTGTCTGCAACTAGGTTTCCTGGTCGTGGGAGTATATTTACTCGCTTGTGCCACTTCTCTGAGCATTCTGGGGTTTTTCTCTGCTATCTGCCACAACTACTTGGCATTTCCACTTAGTGTGGGATATCACTTTTTATGAGCTTCCCAAGACCATGCTAGTAGCATGGGGTACTTGCCAATGTGCCAAATCCTGCATCATGATGGAATAATTCCTTATCAGTAAACTCTAACCTCATCTACCTTTTTGTTCTGCCCGCCCAAATCCACGGTTCTCTGGATCCGGTTGTGTTTATTCTCCCAGCCCTTTGGGCACATGTTTCCATGGCCGCGAGGCTCTTCTGCAGATAGGACCTTCTTCCTTTGTCAGATCTGGCACTTCTCCAGCTGGGTGATGGTGACATGGTGGAGGAATGGGGCTGGGGGCTGACCCCTGGTGTAATACTGTCTTGCAGAGGTCTCTGCAGTCCTCATCAAACACAGAGAGAGCATTTGTCTGTAACAGGGAGAAGTGGGATATCTCTTCAGGTCCAGAAGATTTTGAGCGGGTTAATCTAGACCTTCTCCTAAGCCTCAGGGTCTCCCTTCTTCCCCGGTTCCCCTGCCTGGTCTCAGTCCATTCCCCTGCCTGGCTTCCTTCTAGCCTGGGCCCCCCCTCGCCCCACTGGGTCCTCCTAACCTAGCAAGCTGCTCTCCCCTGTTTCCCCCATTCCCACTTCTGGTTCCACCTCCTCGCCTCCTCCTCCTGCTTCAGCGCCCCATTCCCTTCCCATCCTCTCTACCAGTGTCCCCCATCCCCCTGCCCAGTTCCTTCTCCTCATTGCCCCACGCCCCAACTCGGCGCCCCGGTCTCCCCTCCCGGGCCCCCTCCATCCCCTCGCCCCCGCCTCCCACCGTAGGGGCCCTTGGGCTCCCTCCCCCGGAGACCGACTCCGCCCCCCTTCAGGCCTCGGCTGAGGCGGAGCTGGGGCTGTTCTGAGGGCGGGGCCGTCTCGCTCCCGCCTCCTAGAGCTTCGCCGAGGGGCCGTTGGGGTCGCTCTGTGGGCGGAGCCATCCTGCCCCGCCTCCCCGCGGGCGCGACCAACGGGCAGAGCCGGGCGGGCGCGGGGGCGGGCCCTGGGGGCGGGGGCGGGCCCTGGGGGCGGGGGCGGGCGCGGGGGCGCCGCGGACCCGGAGCGCGCGGGGCCGGCGCAGAGCGCGGGGGGTGAGCTGCGGCTCGGGTCCGGCTGCTCCGCGGGGCTGGGCGCGCGCGTTCTGGCGAGGCCCGCGGGCTCCCAGCGGGCGACCCAGCATGGCGGTGGAGGAAGAGGGGCTCCGGGTGTTCCAGAGCGTGAAGATCAAGATCGGTGAGTGCAGGGCGCCCCCTCCCCCGACGGCGGGCCGGGCTGCGGCGGGCGGGCGGCTCTGGGGACGCGGCTCCCCGGGGGCGCGCCCCGGGGCGGGCTGGGTTCGTGCGCCCCCGGGGCCGCATCCGCCGGGCTCGGATGCCGCATCTCCCCCGGGCTGCTGCACCCAGAAACTTCCTTCCACGCGTTCCCCAGGGGCGTGGGCCCGGGCCCGCTGCGGGGGGTGCGCCCGGCCCGGGCTCGCGCCCCCGCGCCCCCGCGCCCCCGCGCCCCCCCGGTTGAGAACTGGCTGGAGGAGCCCCGGGCCCCCGGCGCCTCGGGTGTAGGCCGAGTCAGCGGGGAGGTTTCTGCCCTTCTCGCTGGCCCGGAGCTGGGCGAGGGAGATGAGGTCCAGATTCTGGACTAATTGGCGCTATCTGGAGAGGCGCGCTTTTTCCCAGCGCTGTGTTGTCTCGGGAGGGTGACGGGCAAGGTCTTCCTCCCTCCTAAGAACAGGATCCTTGCCTGGAGTGATGTCACACACCGAAGCGGTCCATGTGCGGGATGAGCGGACCCAGAGAGCGCCCGTGCTGGGGTCCTCCCTGCCGCCACGTTGCCGTCTCTTCCCGTGTGAAAAGGGGCCGCTGGGAACGCAGCCAGGCACCCAGTGACTGTCAGTTGTTGGTGACATCTGATGCTGCCTGAGGAACTCCAGCTACCCCAAATCAGCGTGCTCTTTCCTGTCTGCTTTATTTTGGTTTATGGATCATTGCTGAGACACTGTTGATATTTGGCTGAGGAGCACCGTGGACTGAGTGTAGCAGTTCTTCAGGCATGAGGAGTCCGCCTGCAGAGGATTTCTCTTGTTTACTTGGTTGAAATCTGCTGTCACTTTTGTACTGAGAGATTCAAGGTTGCGCTGCTGCTGTAGGGGGGTCAGGGAACTTGCCAGTACTAGGGTCTTTCAGCCAAGAGCCCTCACTCAGCCCTGGGCCCACTGAGCCTTAGTCAAGGGAGCAGGAGGGGAACCTGGGGTGGACGAGGGTGCCAGGCTTTGCAGGTACAGCTGGCAGGAATGGGTCTGAGGTCTTCATGGTTCAGGCCAGGCACCTCCAGTCTCCTGCTCGGTTCCAGGAGTGTTCAGGAACAGTGGTAGACTGAGCAGAGAATGGCACAGTACATGAAGCAGGGTAGTGAGGAGACTGTGGAGATGTAGGAGAGCAGCCTCACTAGCCTACCAGTCCATGTCCATGGGTGGGTTCTGGATCTTGACAAGGATGGGGCTGGTGTGGAAGGTAGGGGATTTGAAGACCCTGCTTGGTTAGGCTTCCTGTCTTTCATGTTCTACTTTAAACACACAAGAGAAACACCCAGCTCAGCTGAGGAATGGTGCAGTGCCTGTGTACTTAAAAATCCTAAACATCTGCTGTCTCTAACCCCACATGAGAGTGGGTACTGTTGGAAGTTTTGAAACACCTTTCTCATGTTTGGGGGCTCAGCAGTGAACACAGCACCACCTTCCAACTCCCCAGATGTTGGTCCAGCTTCAGGAAACTCTTATCTCTCTCTCATCTCTGGGGGTCTTTGTCCACAACGCTGGGCTGCAAGAGGGAGATATCTCTGTGTCACCTTTGTAGCTGGGGGCATTCAGGGAGCAAGGGCCTACACCCAGCACAGACAGGGCATCCTCCTGTGTTTGAGCACAGACATGGTTCTAGGCTGTGCCCCTGAGAGCCTGGGCTGGAGGCCCTGAAGGTTAAGTGGAGGGGCTGGTTTGGGGCTTAGTCTCATTTAACTCGAGGGGTGGTCTGTTAATAGAATGGGATGAGGATGGTCCTGAGCATGGAAGGTGGTATGCTGAGCTTTTGATTTCTTTCCCTAGTCATCTCTCGTGGCCAGTCTTGGCTCTGGCTTGCCTGAATGCCCTGGTCTTTAAGGTACAAGATGATGAGGAACACCACAATTGATCTGGAAGAGGGGCACACATGCATAATCATACACACAGTCACATGCACACTTGCCTCTTCTTGTTCGGGGACACACTGGCCAGGCCATCCATTCATCTTTGAACCTTGTCTCCAGGCTAGCTGGCTGCATGCCTGTGTGCTCTTGGCTGGCTGACCCAGTGCAAATGTCTTCCCCTTCCATAGCCTCATGTTTCCATGTACAAAATGCAGGCAGTAATTGTCTACTGCATCCGGTGGGGGCTTACAAGACGATATTGTTCCGGCTCACATTCATGCCCACCCCCTCACTCCCGGAAAAGCAGAGAAAGAAAAGAGTCTCCCTGAAGTTACACTGGTAAGCAATATCCCTAATCTTGTTGCTAGCTAAAAAAGAAAGGCAGTACGTTTTTGGGGGATGAGTTTTTTAGGTGTCAGGGCCTTGGGTTGTCTGGTGGTTGTGGTCCCCAGGCCGAGGCTGGGGACAATGGGAAGAATCTTTTCCTTGTCTTCCTCTTCCCCTTTCTCTGGCCCTTCTACCTTCTGCAAAAGCCAAATCAGAGCGAGGCATTCTTATTAGATCTGTTTCGGGCCTTGTGGTGAGGAACCTATTGCCTTCCCCATGGAGATCTTGCAGTTATTTTGGGTGGTTCTTCTGTATACTTAAAAATCCTAAACATCGCCTACCTTTGGTAGTAGTTGTTGCTGTTTTTATGCTAGTGTCTCTTGTGTAAGGCCAAGTGCACTTCCTATGAGATTGTAGTTTTGAGGAAGTGTGCCTTTCTGACTTTCCATGAGTCAGGGCCTTTGTGCTGGGAGGGAAGCAACTTGAAGACTGTGAGTGAGGCGTGTGTGGAGGACCCACAGAGAAAGCCCTCTGGGAAGCATTATTTTGGACTCAGTGCTCCTCTCGGCTTTGTGGTATAGCTCTACCTCTCAGTGGTACTTTCCTTTTCCATAATAGTTACCTCTGGTTTTTAAAAGTGTCATCTTATCTTGATAAATGTGTTCAGTTAAGAGCAACATACAAAGGTTTTTCTCTAGAGCTAAAAAACAAACAACAAAAATCAAAATCTAGCCTTGCACTTGAATGAGAAAAGCCCTCTTGCTCTGTTTTTTTTTTTTTTAAATATTTATTTATTTATTCAGAGAGACAGAGAGAGAGAGAGGCAGAGAGAGAGAGAGAGAGAGACAGAGACACAGGCAGAGGGAGAAGCAGGCTCCATGCAGGGAGCCCGACGTGGGACTCGATCCCAGGTCTCCAAGATCATAACCCAAGCTGCAGGCAGTGCCAAACCACTGCGCCACTGGGGCTGCCCTCCCTCTTGCTCTGTTAATGGTTTTCATCATCAGGTTTGACGGCCCAGTTTGGATCCACTGGGCATGTTGGCCTCTGTGTCCCCAGTGAGGCCACGCCCTGCCTGGTTCCAGGCTATCCTCTTTTGCCTGTCTCTCCCTCCCTTCTCCTTGGGCTCAGAGCACACTCTCGTGTTTTTTCTCTGTAAAGTTACCACTTGTCCACCATCAGGGTCGATGGCAGGTGGGGTCCAGTGCAAGCACATTGGAACTGACAGTGCCCATCATTCAGCACAGCATGGCCCAGCCATGGGCCCTGGCGGGCCTGCCCCAGCCTCATGCCCTCCCTCCAGCTAGTTACAGACACAATCCCTCCAGAAGCAGGAGGCCTCTCAGGCAGGAACCAAGGGAGGTGAGAACAGGACATGGTGGCTGAGGGTCTCTGGCCTGTACCTACCTGGGCCAGGTGGCTGCTCAGGTGGGGCGTGGTGAAGATGGCCCAGACCACAGGGCCTGGACACAGGGTTCTGCATCTGCTCTGTTGAAAGTGGGATATTTAACCAAATTTCTGGCATGGGAAGGAGTAGCGCGCTCATCCCAGGGTCCTGTGAGGGTCAGATGAGGTGCTGCTCCTGCTTGATAAGGTAAAGTAGTTATCGTTAGTACTTCCCAGGGCTAAGGAGACATGGTTTTCCTGACCAGAGAAAACATTTTGTGAATATGAGGAAGTGATATTAGTGATGTTAGCTTTTTCATTGTGTGTGTGTGTGTGTGTGTGTGTGTGTGAGAGAGAGAGAGAGAGACAGTGGGAGAAGGGGCCATGCAGGCCACACATGGTTCTTGGCATTAGGGATTTTGTATTCTCTTGAGCTGTCTCATGCTAAAATTAACCTGGATATTCTATTAACCGAGCTGAGCTAGCTGCTGCTGCTGCTATTTTTAACCCTTAAGGACTAGTGTGCAGACCTGGGCTCTGCCTGGGGAGCAGCCAGGCTCAGAGGCCATGGGCGATTTCAGTTTGTGGCTCCCTCGCTGGGGAGGGCTGGGTTTGCTGTGCACACGTGTGGCATGCAGAGGGTTGCAGACTTCAGGATCTAGTTTATGCGTATTATCTCATTTTAATTTAAGTTTCCACAACTCCGTGACATTGAAGTTGAGAAAAGGAGAGCCATATAACTTAAATAACCTGCCAAAGTCACCCAGCCCATGAAAGCAGAGCTGGGGGCCTTATACCGATGCCAGTGTTATTATTGCTACTTTACTACAGCCTGTCTTTCTGTGTGATCTTGGGTTTGAATGGTGGAGGTGCAATGAAGAGCTGGGAAAGACCGGTTCTAGGCCCAGGAGGGAACAGGGCCACTGTCTCCTGTGGGTGGACCATCAGGGCCACTGGCCTGATTGTCTGCAGACTTGGAGTCATGGACTAGGGCTGCTGGGGTAGAAGGTCGAGAGGAGAGAATTGTGGAGATGGGGTCTTCAACAGAATACAGAAATCCAGAGATGAATTGTTAAGCAGGGTCACCAGCGAAACATGTTTTGGAAAGAGGCATGGGGCAGGTGAGCGGAGCATGGGTTCCTATCGGTGGAATCATTTGGCTGGAATATAGCATTTGGTGGGAACGTTCGGTTTGCTTCTCTGAAACCAATGAAGCATCTGAGTATGTAACACTCACACATTCCTGAAGGCATCGGGGAGTCGGAGCATCGGCATATCATGTTGTAGTCATAGATGTGCACATGTTTAGAGAGGAGATGGATATATTTGCTTGAAGCAAGCAGAAG